ATTGTTTGTCATGGACAACTACTGATGTATAATGCTATGTAGTATAATAAATGATAAGACACTTGTTCTTTGCTTTGTTTTATTTTATATAAGAAGGTGTAACATTAAAATATATTACAGTGCACATAAACACACAAAACTCAAGTACATACGGAGGTAGGGGTTCTAGCAGACCAATCACAGCGCTTGCGGTCTACGTAGAATTGACGCGCTGTTAAGATTTTTGGAGAGGTGCACGTCAGGCTACGGTGTATGGGTGTGCGTCTACGCGTAAGCTACGGCGTAGGTTCGATGCAGAAGTATAAATTGAGCTTTAGAAGGTTGTTGCCTATGTATGCAGTAGACATTAATGCAGCTCACCAGGGTATGGTAAAACGCTCAGTGTAATATTGAACTATCAAAACAGTGAGAAAATGTCCCATTTAATAGATTATTTGCCTTTGGTACAGCAAGTTTTATTCCATACACAAGGCATGTTCTGAATGTGGAAGGGTTCAAATTAGAGCTTCCAGTCACGGGTGAATCATTACTTCTCCAAGTCTGAGAAACCTTGTTCAAACATTCCCTAATTACACTTTCTCCAGTCCTGACTAGTGTTCCAAACAATGATTTTTCAGCCACAGAGCCTTGGCTTATGTTTAGTGCTTAAACAGCCTGTCTGAATTATAGCTTGAAGCTAGATCATATTTAGCCCTTCCAAACTGACCCCACTTGCATGGACATTAGCCCATCCACCCATAGTGGATGCAGGCCATTTTAAAGACTGATTTTACTGGATTGCCTTCACTTGCACTTAATTCACTGAAAAGGTTCCCCTATGCTATAGCATCCTGCCACATCTGACGTCAATGACAGTTGGTCACAATACAAGCAAGAATAGATTGTCTTTTAAATAAACCAAGTACTGTGCCATCTTTTGTATTCAATGAAGAAAGTCATACAAGTTTAGAACATGAGTTTAAAAAAAATGTTTCAACTATTTCTTAAATAAACCTTGTACAAATACATATATTCTAGGGAATGCAAAAGGAAAACAGATACACTAGCATCAGAAAAAAAAAAAAAAAAAAAATTTCATGAATAAAAAAAATCCATGGCTTGAAATGGCTGAGGTTTGCTTCCCACAAACCTCCATAAACCACCACTGAAGTGCTGACTGCAGAAAAGGGTCGTTTCACAGAGGCATCACACACACACACACACACTCCCGTTCTCCATCTATCAATGCACAAAACTGCTTAAACAGGTCAGCAAAAGTGAACACACAGCAGTTTGTCAGTAGTCTGCAGCAAAGAGGGAGAGAGAGAGGGAAAAAAGTGGTAGAAGCAAGGAATGGATAGAAGCAAAGGTTTGCTTACTTCTCACCATCACACTGTCAACCTCTTTACAAAAAAAAAAAGACTTTAAAAGATTTTATGGATAATTAGCAATCATGTTTGCATAAACATGAACTTTCTTAATATGTAAATTTGGTTGTATTCTGTGTGCGCCATGTAAATGTGTTACATCTGCCTCTTTTGATCAGAATTCAATGTCATTTCAACACCTTAATCGGAATATCCACAGTTCCCGTATATCTATGCGTGCCTAAAAATTATTTATGAGCACTATGAGAAACAGACAGACAAGTTAAGCTATTAAAGATAGCTGCATTTCTGGAGTGAAAAGGAGACAGATTCCATACAAGTTTACAACACAAGGAACATAAATCATTCACAGATGGGTAATACCATCATAAGAGTTTCATGACCTACATTCTGAAATTCACTGTGCCTTTGTGAATGAAAATTAATGAGCTGGATAAATTACTGTGCAGGTTTACTAAAAACAAACTTAAGTGGCAAGAGTGAGCATGCTTCCACAAGAAAACAGTGGAAAACATGTTTTCATTTAGCTGAAAACTGAAAAAAAAAAAAAAAACTTTTTTATACTGCATTATAGGGCTGTCAAAATGGCTGAAAAACTAAATTCGAATTTTGTACTTAAATATTATCAAAATTCAAATTATATTCGAATTTAAAATGCATAATTTCAGTTAGGGTGAAGAAAAGCTTTTGGCTTCTCTCCTGAGGCCACAAGAGGGCGCATCGACCAATGCACGTTTATTCAAAGCATATAAGATGACATGCCTATCTGTGAAAAAAGTGCATAATGTTTAAAATGTTTATAAACCAATTATAATTAAGTTGCTTTTAAACAACTATAAACAAAACAGCATCATGTATGTATTCATAGTTTAATACAAAGGGCCGAAAGCCAATCACACAGATTACAGGGGGAAGTCGTGGCCTAATGGTTAGAGAGTCGGACTCGTAACCCAAAGGTTGCGAGTTCGAGTCTCAAGTCCGGCAGGAATTGTAGGTGGGGGGAGTGAATGTACAGCGCTCTCTTCCACCTTCAATACCATGACTGAGGTGCCCTTGAGCAAGGCACCGGACCCCCAACTGCTCCCCAGGCGCCGCAGCATAAATGGCTGCCCACTGCTCCGGGTGTGTGTGTGTTCATTGCTGTGTGTGTGCACTTAGGATGGGTTAAACGCAGAGCACTAATTCCTAGTATGGGTAACCATACTTGACCACAAAAGATTAAATGAAAATGACATCAAAACTTTTCTGAAGACAATCGGTTTCCTTCAAAAATGATACATTCATATAAAAACACCCCTGCCGTGTTTTGAATTTGAAACGTGCAGAGCTCATGTTTATTCAACAAAGTCAAAGCCTTGTGGAAAATCTATTTGTGGCGGTCAGTGTTAATATTGTGGCGTAAATCAATGTATGGGAAACCCTGACATTTTTAATGATAATTATGTTTCTACTCAAATTAATTTCTGAAATAAACATTAGACAGTGACTGTAATAACTTGTTTTCATAACAGATTTATGACACGTGATGCAATTCAAGTCTTATTCTGAATAATTTTCCACTTTTTCATACCCATGTAAACATGGTCTGATTTCTCAAACTTAAGCAACTTGTCACACGTCAGTAAAGCAGTTGACTCAGTAATTACATGACCAGAGCCTGATATCGTCTCTCAATTTTCTTGTTCCTTGAAGAAAAAAACCCAGACCAGAAAAGCATGTGCGGGGGAGCGACAGCAGCTATTCATAGACTTGAAGCAGGAACAGCTCTCTCTCTAAAAGGCTCTGAAGGAGGCGTCTGAGTGAGAGAAGATCTGGCTGGCATATGGATCATGTGAGCCCATAGAAAAGAAACGATTACAAATTAGATGTGTACGCTTGGATCCAGCCACATCCCCCAGCATTAGCCAGTGAAATCACCTCTCCACAACATACTTGCAAAAACACACAAAACTGAACAGTTCAAGCAAAGGAACTAATGAGAATTTAGAAAAAAACAACAACAACATTAACAGCAAAGTCAAAAGCAGAATTATGAAACTTATTCCCATTCAGGATATGAAGAAACACTGGATATTCAACTCTCGATTTATTAAGGAACAGCTGTGTCATTCTTTCATACTATTTCTGGAATGTCCCTGTCAACTTCATTTCAAAACACATTTCAAGACACATACAACCGGATATGCAGAAACTGTACTGGATGTTAACATACTGGAAAGGGTGACAGGAAGTCAGAGGTGTCATTTCAAGGACTGTGGCACTACTGTTTACTTCCTGTGATACATCAAAGTCCCTTTAAAGGAACACTCCACTATTTTTGAAAATAGGCTCATTTTCCAACTCCCCTAGAGTTAAACAGTTGAGTTTTACCGTTTTCAAATGGATCTTTATTTTAAATTCAACGAATATTCGAACTTCGAATTATTTTTTGACAGCCCTAATGCATTAATCAAATTTAATAAGCAACACTCAAATTAAAAGTTGTACATAACTGCATTTTGTACAGTTTAAACGGTTTTTATACAACATTCAGTGTTTCCCACAGACTTACACTATGTGTGGCGGCACTTTCCCTGGGGGAAATATACATGTATATAATGTAAATATAAAACAGCAGGCTTATTGAAAGTGCAAATTCATTCTCTGCCAGCAGGAGGCGCTTTAAGAGTGGCAGAAATAGCGGTTTCCCCGTTAATGGCTGTAATCAAAGCAGCGTTGCGCTCATGAACGCTACTTTATAAGGCATTATAGGAAAGATTAAATGAAAATGACATCAAAACTTTTCTGAAGACAATCGGTTTCCTTCAAAAATGATACATTCATATAAAAACACCCCTGCCGTGTTTTGAATTTGAAACGTGCAGAGCTCATGTTTATTCAACAAAGTCAAAGCCTTGTGGAAAATCTATTTGTGGCGGTCAGTGTTAATATTGTGGCGTAAATCAATGTATGGGAAACCCTGACATTTTTAATGATAATTATGTTTCTACTCAAATTAATTTCTGAAATAAACATTAGACAGTGACTGTAATAACTTGTTTTCATAACAGATTTATGACACGTGATGCAATTCAAGTCTTATTCTGAATAATTTTCCACTTTTTCATACCCATGTAAACATGGTCTGATTTCTCAAACTTAAGCAACTTGTCACACGTCAGTAAAGCATTAAATTTCATATTTGAAATTACCAATGAAATCTGACAACAACTGTGTCATATATGTGGTTTCTTTTGCTCAAATAGCGGTATAAAAAGCTTATTTTTCAGGCTAGATCAGCCAGTGCGCATGAGCAGTCCTAAGCGCACGTCTCAGAGCGTTGACTGTTTCTATAGCAAACTGGACTTCTAACGGCAGCTGCAGTGATGCGCTGACTTTACCAATTAGCGATTGGCTCTTTTGCTCAGAAGGCGGGGCTTCGTTCGATAGAGCAGCCATATTGAGTGTTGCATTTTTCCCCATTCAAAACTGACACGTCTTGGGAATTCTTCTATAGTCTTTGGATACATCCATCAGTGAATGGAATGAAAGCTCATTCATAGCTCAGCCAAACAAGACGCCATCTGGATGGTTGTCAATGAGATGAAACAGACTTCAAACACAGAAAGAGATAAATATGAAAAAAATAAATACCTTATGGGAATAGTGGGGGTCCATTATACGGGCAAGTCCAAAGTCCCCGATTTTCAGTACCAAGTCCTCAGTGTTGACGAAGAGGTTGGCGGGCTTCAGGTCACGGTGAAGCACGTTTGCCGAGTGGATGTATTTCAGTCCTCGCAGCAGTTGGTACATGAACAGCCGTGCATGATCCTCGGACAACAAGCCTTGTTCCAGTACTTTACAGAGGTCTGTTTCCATGTACTCCTGTACGATGTACACAGAGTTGACCTCCGTCAGAGAGCTCACATCCTCCGTGAGCCTCCGGCCACTGGGCCCCAGCGTTTCAAACACTTTCACAATGTTGTCGTGATCGAGCCTGCGGATGATCTTGATTTCGCGCAAGGCGTGTTTAACGCTCTGAGGGTCGGTTAAGACAATCTTTTTCACAGCGACCCTTTTGTCACAATCGGTGTCGACAGCGGAAAAGACCAGTCCGTTGCCTCCATAGCCCAGAGGCTTTAGGTCCATGTAGCGAGGGCCCAGGTCGAAGCCGTGAATGTTCATAAGGCTTTCAAATTTCTCTGCCATTTTCCTGCCTACAAGAGCAGCTCTGTGCAGATATTATAGAAGGGAGGATTTCTGATTTCTGATATGCAGCCGATCTTGAGTTGCAACTACTAGAGCTAATTTGAGAAAGACAATCCTAACTTAACAACAAAAAACACAAGACAAAACACTCAAGCCTACAAAGACTTGAGCGTTTTCCCCGAACGACCGTTACAGCGTATTCTGAGAGATGCTTAGAACTGATTCAGATATGTTGCCGAGATATGTTGTCATCATCCACAGCACTTTTTAGCAGCTTTTTACGTAGTTTGTGGGAGAGTTTTCTTTTTATTTCAATGTTTATTAGGGCTTAACGGAATGAATTTGGAAGCCAATCAAATATCTCTGAATGTAACTGAAATAATTAAAGTCACTACCTATAAAACCATCGTCACAGTGCAGAAATTTTCAGTGTATGACTGGCCCTGAGCAGCAGCATTACTAATGGTCCAAGTTAATGGTGATAAATCTACTTTTTCCTGTTTAAAGCACCTGATGTGGGGAAACCGAAAGGGTTGATGATCTCAGTGAGACTATTCCTTCTCAATGATCAGGTGGCTCCAGCTCACCGCAGTCGCAATCAAAACTATCCTCCATTTTACACTGGGATACCCTGCAAAACACAGCAGAAAAACAACTGATTAGCAATGTACCGTACGTCATTAGACCAAAACGCGAATCTGATTACAATGTCATTCGCTTTGAGCACTGTATTAATATGCTTCCTCATTGCTATGGAGAAGACGTTGAAAGCTGAATGAATTTGAGCAGCGTTCAGCTCAAATGAGACTGTACAGAGGATACAGAAGAGAACGTAACAATCTAGCCTGAACCTAATCATTTAAAAAGGCAAGACCACAAAAGAATATAGAGCACCGCTTATTCAGATCTTAACTTTCTGAATGAAATCGCTCTGGTAAAATGCTTACACAGTTGTGACAGCCCTCTTGGGCAATGTTTCCTGTGTGTGTTCATGTACCCCATCTATGACGTCTCTACACTATCTGATGTCATGGGTTTCTGTTTCCCCTCCTCAGACTGTAAAAGACACCACAATGATCGTAACACACATGTAATGGATTAACACGGCTCCCAGCCTGTGTCTGAAGACACAAAGGTTGGGGGTGATTCAGCCACGTTGCAGTAGTGTGTGAGAGAAATGATGGCCGACCGGCTGCCAACCATTTTGTTAAATGAAGGAGGGAGCCAACAAACACTGAATCAGTTCTGTACTGACATTATACCAACACCTATAAGTCATATTTAAACAATGATAAAGTGAGTTAACTAATAAACATAAACCCATTAGATGTTTTTTTTTATGGATCTACCACTTAAACTCCATTAAACACACGAGCGACAACGTTTACTGCTACATTTAACACTCAAAAAGTAAATATATTAGGATTTTCCAGAAATAACTACAGAAATTAATAATTCAATATTAAAGTGAATAGTGTGAGAAATTGAAAAACAAATTACAATAACGAGGCAAACTAATAAACTATTGTGTTGTACATAAGTAACATTGATTATTTTCATTGCGGTCCTGTAAAATGTATAGTTAATCGGGAAGTGTTTTATGATTTTATTGGTCATTTTCGGTCCTCCATTTTGCTGTAAGGATACATGTTAAAGCTAAAACTGAACCGGTTCGGAGTCTAAACACTGCTTCCATTCAAAAACTGTAAAACAGAATCAATAACCCAGTAAAAACAGTAGGAACCCCAAATATAAAAACACTAAAATAAAACGAACAATAAATAACGGCACGATTCACATAAAGATCGAGTCACCTTAAAATCATGTTTTAAAAAAGATTAATAACCCAGGTAATGGTGAAATATAACTTTTAATATACCATACTAATGTATTACATATGAGTAAAGAGTGTCCTCTAATGATTTATGTGTTAAATCTTGATGTTTTAAGGCGCTTCAACGCGTTACCTGAACAAAGAAGGATATTGTGCCACGGCTGATCACCGCGCCGCCCTCTGCTGATAAAATAAACCCTTTAACCTACTCAAATAGCCACATTTACGCCCCAGACGCGCTCATATATAAAGCAAAGACATAAAACGTGTACTTACTCTTCTCACGGGTGTCATGTATATTTTATTCCTAACCGTTCTTGGTCAGGTTTGTATGCGCTACCAGCGCACTCTCCTCACAAACTGCCGAGTGAAGCTCTTGTGTTGAAGCACTGTGTGAATAAGCGCGGCTACGCATGCGCATTTTGCGCTTCTAAGCGCTGTTCTTTGAAGCTTTACTGCGCATGGGCAACGCTCGGGTACTCCGCCCGCTTCTTTTATTGCTATGGGAACCGCGCCGCATTCAAACATGATTCAAACTCATATTAAATTGCAATTCACTGCAATAACCACAAAATCCATGAAGGGCCAGAGTACTTGAAATCACATCAAAGCACATGAAATTGTGAAATCAATAAATAATTAGGTAAATCACATTTTTAATTTAACAACAGCACATAAAAATACAGCAATATGTTTTAAAAAATATTGCAATATTCCTTATCACAAAACTACTGTATAACTAAATATTTTAAACAAATTTTAAGCATAAATATTTTTAAAGTATTTTAAAGCATTATATATTTTATAATAATAGCCTAAGCTTGATTTATATTGCGTAACCCCTGAACAATATATTACGCTGTTTAATAAACAATAATCTGTAGACTACAGTTATCACAAATGACATCTTGTGTGTGATATTCCAGTTAAATTAGGAGTTAATGCAGAACCTGCTGCAGGGTGTCATAGCCTATATCTTGCTTGTTAGCTAAACCTATTTGCTTAAGTTGTTGTTTCAGGGAAGTTTAACTCCAGATGCTGACACTTCTCGTTCACCGACGACAAAGCAGGATCGTTCTGTTCTGTCCAGGTCTGCTTAGTTTTTTAACGCCCTGCAAGTGTCAATGAATGCTTGGATCTGCCGGCAGGGGCAGACTGCTTCAGATCTCAATGTTCCCATCGTTCAAGATGTATTGCCATTAAAGCTGATAATAGTTCAGGGTCTGTGGTGATGTAGTTAGATTTGGGATATATCTTGAACTTTCATGTTTTACTTACGTTCTTTGTTAATTAATTTATTTCTCTTGTTTATCCAATGTACTGTATATATGTGCAGTTTATCCATTTTCACTTATCTTTTCACAATTTCATCGCCTAAAATAGGCTACCCTTGACCATTTTAAGAGTAGCTTAACAACAGCATCCTATAATGTTCTTATCTGGTGTACAGACAGCATGTTCTGATGCAGCTCTACTCACTGCATTTGGGTCGATTAGTCGCTCCCTCCCTGTTCCGTTTCCTTTATTTCCAGAAATCACGTTATGGTTATTATCCGAGTGCGTTCATGGCTATGAGCAAAGGTCTGACCGCAGGACGCATGATGATGCTGCAACATCGCCGCAGACGAGCTGTCTAAAAACCATGGTGTTCACAAGCCTCCAGACTGATACGGCAGCAAACACGGGTTAAACACACTAAATGTAGCTAAACTAAGCTGCGGGATAATCAGGACTGTATGTCCTGCGCTAGTGCTGAATGAATGGATCGATGGACGCGGCGCAGCATAAGCAGAATCCCCATGTGCTCTATGCCGCACTACGACTGCGCTTTAGAGTAGCACCATATATCTCACTGCCATGTGTGAGCCCTATTCATCATATCACACGTTTGATATACTCCTAAATCCCAGCAGAAAACATTTTATAGATTACTGTCATTACTGTATTATGTATTAATTATGAATTAAGTATTACTTTATTTATTTATTTTGTTTAACTGGAGACAAAATAAACGTTAAGTGAAATCAAACATAAAAAACTTAAACTTATTCAGCTAGTTGCCAATATTTTAGTTTAGTTTAAAGGGGTCATATGATGCTGCTAAAAAGAACACTATTTTGTGTATTTGGTGTAATGAAATGTGTTTATGCGGTTTAAAGTAAAAAAAACACATTATTTTCCACATACTGTACATTATTGTTTCTCCTCTATGCCCCGCCTTTTTGAAACGCGTCGATTTTTACAAAGCTCATCGGTCTGAAAAGCGAGGTGTGCTGTGATTGGCCAGCTATTCAGTGCGTTGTGATTGGCCGAATACCTCAAGCGTGAGACGGAAATGTTACGCCCCTCACCATACTGTGTTGATGCCGTGTCCCGGCCGGAGCGACGAGACATAAACATTAAAACCCATTACAAACGAGGCATTTGTTGCATCCAGTGGGGACATAATTACTGATTATAATGACTTATACTGTCTTTTTACGCGTTGCGCCGCGTAAACATAAAACCCTGTCTGCATTTGTGATCAGAGAAATGACAAACAACAAGTGCTAACGTTAATCCACACTGCCCAAAACTCGCGTTTGAATCATCAGTGGCAAATGATAAAAGAAAACGTACTTACGTGAGTCAGAACTGCCGGCATTTTAGTCTAACGTAACTCTCCCAGGATCAGTAAACAGTCCTCCATAAAATGTGCTGGCGATCCACAGCACTAAGTTGAAGTATTCCCTCAGCGACCAGCACAGATCAGCTCTAGGCATAACGAAGCGGATATCGTCCTCTTTTGGAAGACCAAACAAAGTAGCTTCGCTTTCACAACGAAGCACACAGCGTCTTCAGGACATGGCGGCAGCGGCAACAATACTACAGTGAGAATAAAAGTTACGCCTTCTTTCTTTGCGTGAACATTTGGGCGGCGTTATGCAAATCTTCCCACATAGTGAGGTAGATATGTGGGGGCGTGTTCGAACGAGCCGTTTTAGGTAGGTGTGGCTAACTCTTAACTTTTATAAAGAATATCTCTTTGGATTTGAGACTTTAGTCTTTGCAACTTTACAGATCTTCTTTATGCACCAAGAGCTTGTAACACTCTAAAGAGAAAGGAAAAAATGAAATCGCATCATATGACCCCTTTAATTTGAAGTACTAAAATAACTAACTAAATAAAACAATGATAAAAACTACATACATAGGCCTATAAAAAACGAATAATTTTTTTTTAAGTAAAAACATAAAATGTCCAAAATGTCAAATTCAAAAATATTAACAAAAACTACAATAGTATATCAATGCTAATAAAATAACACTGAGCACTCCAGTCACTGTATGGAAAAGAGCAACATGGAAATTCTGCAAGACATCAATTTTATATGCCATATGGTATCAAATATATTAATTTAAAAATAAATAAATAATAACATCTGCCATCTCTTTTTGGTCCTATGGAAATCTAACTGTTGGTGTGTCTGTGCCACACATTCCACTCCCATTGCTGTCTGATTTTATGATATGATGTTCCACATTATAATTATAATATGTGCCTCTAAGGTTGTGCCCATGAGTCTTGGCTTAAGTCTAATATAAGGTGCAAACTAGTCATATGTGGAAATATTAAGAGGTTACCCATCTCGGTAGTAATGTTGTGTAACATGGAGACATATAGTATTACTGCTTATTAAAATTTTATGATGGAAGAGTTTCACACAGTCCTGTTTCACACTTAACTTTCTTATAGGTCAGCCACTCTAGGAGTCCAAATCAACCCACACAACACATGCGTGACCCATGCAAACCTTTGTGATTGTAGAGGGGTACATTTGAATAAAGATACATATAAACACAAGCTAGTTGTGTGATAATGTGGACTTTGTGTCTACCTGCAGCATGTGGAAGGAGAATAGGTGTTGGGTAACAGCTGAGGTGTGTCATTCCCTCACACACATCAAACATTGAGGTTTATTACCCTCTGTGTCACCAGACTGTCTTTAACAAACAATGCTCATAACCCACTTTCACAACCTAACATTTATAAAATTACGACATTTCATAGAAATCCCACGTGAGGTTTTCCCTTTCACCGTTGGATCAACCAGACAAAATGTGAACTTATCCTTATAATATACTTCAATTTAAATAACATTTTATTTAATAAACAAGCACTACTATTTTTGCTCATTCTTGATTAAATGACCTTAACACAAAGTATTAAACACCATTTGCACCATGGACATAAATAATATCTCAAATTGTTTTTTGCTTTTTGAACAGAGGTGTGCAATTAAGTGGTTTGACTTTTTATAATTTTTGTCTGATCCTCTGTATTTATACTGAAAAACCTTGACAGCCATGTTAAAGACACCTAGCAACTATTCAAAGCGCCTTAGTAACCATTTAGCATCGTAACATCATGGTGAGTTTTTCAAGCACCTTTTATAGACAATGCAATTGTCTACTTTGAAATTATACATTCTATGACCAGTTAATGCGCTATATGTGATTTTTATAACCCAAGAATTATCTCAAGTCAAGTCAAATGTATTTATAGAGCAATTCATATTAATACACAATGACTACGTTTACATGGACATCAGTAATCTAATTATTTACCTTATTCTAAAATAAACGTACTCACTGTTTCATAATATCATAATGTTGAGGTTTATAATATCTTAATATCTTCATGCCTTATAGTCACATTTGCAGATTGGATCTTGGCCATAATATACTTTAATACAAGCAATCAACAGAGGTGTAAAGAGTACCTAAAAACCATACTTGAGTAAAAGTACAGATACCTTACAGTGAAAATTACTCCACTACACGTTACAAGTCACCAATTCCAAAACAACTTGAGTAGAAGTCTTAGAGTATCTGATTTTAACAGTACTTAAGTATTTTACTTATACTAAATATAGGCTCAAAAAATGCACTAGTCAAAGAGACACGCTAGTTAAAAAACTGTAATGTTGTGGAGAAGCTGCAGAAAATAGGCAGAGGCAAGGATCTCTGTGCTGGTATTTCATGGAAAAACTAGAACAAACAATAAGCCAAAAAACAAAAACCAAAGGGAACAAAGAACAGAATGACTGGCAAACAGACAACCATTACATTCAACAACTCGCAAGGAACTAAAGAAAAAAACCAAAATAAAACTGAACACCTCAAAATTACAAAAAAAACAAAACAAACAAAAAAATTTACTTCAAAAAGGTCTCTTCAGTATAATGGATGAATAAAATAATGTTAAGTAAAATTAAAAAGCCGAAGCCTTCTTGCAGTGGATGTGCTGGTTTGGGCCTCATTGCCGGCTGCAGTCATGTCCTCATCTCATATATAAAACACCTCTGATTCACAAATACTTGCTAAGGAACTCGCATTCACATAAAGTAGCCTTGTTGACAAGTTTGGGTGAGTAAGGGCAAAATGCAGTACTTTCAGTGACCTGTAATAGGCAGTATCATGTCTTTTGTAGCAGAAATAAACTGCTGCAGAAAAAGCTAGGTCCATGCAAAATGTAATGTGTTACTGCAACACTCATTTCAAATGTAGTGGAGCAAAAGAGTACAGATACTCATTCAAAAATGTAGTGAAGTAGAGAGTAAAATTTGCTAATATCTTTGATACTCAGTACAACTACAAAGTATTCAAAAAGATACTCAAGTACAGTAACTAATTACATTTACTCCAATACTTTACACCTCTGGCAATCAAGCAGTTGAGATATGTTGTATAATGGCTGATAATATAGTTATATTTTACGAGGGAATAAAAGGTCAGGCAGTTGATATTTGTCATTTAGTATACATGAATGTATTGCATGTATGCAGGTTAGGTTAAATGTAACATATATCCAACTTTATATATAAGAGCTATGCGATAATAGAGTTTACATTTTGTGATGATTTAGACAAATCATGCAGCCAAGATTATCTATCCACAATATGAACACAACACCAAAATAAAAGTGTAATGTTTAAAACCAGGGGTGTCAAACTAAATTCCAAGGCCGGAGCCCTGCAGAGTTTAGATTCAACCCTAATTAAACACATCTGATGCAACTAATCAAATCCTCCAGGCTTACTTAAAAACTACATGGTGTGTGTGTGTTGGAGCAGGGTTGGAAAAAAACTCTGCAGGGCTCCGGCCCTCCAGGAACTGAGTTTGACACCAATGTTTTAAACATTTACACACCATTTAACATGCTTTTTTTTATGCAAAACAACTTCCAGTACAGGAGTTCCCTTAGGGAAAATCAAGGACACAATGGCCAGTCACTCTATAGTTCCTGGGTCACAAGCCCATATCATTAACCAGTAGGCTACCACTACAACCATCAGTTAATTACATAACATTCTGATGATTGACATCTCCATCCTTCAGAGAGATTTACCTTAGTTGTCGCAGACATCACTGAGAAACTACTGATCAAAACAATAAAGCCGTTGAGGAATTTTCCATGATCTATAGTTGACATAATCCAGTGAGAGTTATTATGGTCCAGTGAGCCTCCTACACCCTCTCATGACTCTCCTTGCTGGATGCCTGTGTACCACACTCTGTTTACTGCATGTGAGCACATGCTGTCTAGAGTTTTATTGAGGAATCAGTGCTCTTCATACCAAAGAGTTGATTTTTGTGCCCTATTATTACATTACAATGTACACAGGGCCACAGCTATTCACTTAATTATGTTTGGATGAAGCTGTGCTGTAAATTGTAACTGTGCTGGTTTAGGGGTCACTGATGCTCTCCTGGTTATGACAGTTTTGAAGTTTCGCTATGCACAAGTGAGCCATGCCAGGACCTTCCTGTCACCCCTAAATCCTGAAGCTGTCCATGTGCACCCTGTTTCTGGGATCCTTCCCAACCTTTCATCATAAATCAGCCCAAACATTCAGTGTCTATGTCCTCAAAGAGAGAAGGACACCAGGAGAAATGTCTCTGAAACTTTGTCAGCGGTCTTTTAAGAGTCACCTTATTAGTAAGTGTTACAAATTAAGTAGTAGGGTTCAACAGGTAACTTACCATGGCTGAATTCATCCAACAACAGCTGGGAATGCATTTTTTAAAGTCAGTAATCCATGCAAAAGTGTCAAAGAAGTGAGAGAAAGTATCCAAAAAGACAGTATCCAGTACGGAGAGGTTAAAAGCAGGTCGACAGAGACAGCCAGAGGGTGTCCAGAGCGGTAGTGGTGTTGAAGAACACTCATCTGTTTCTGGACTCGGCCTCCATAGTGGGCTGTTATAGGCTGAGAGAGAAGGGGTGGAGTTTCTTCTGTGTATGGTTCTGTTAGTCAGCGCCAACTCTAGTCCTATTACAGGTCACTCTACAAGCTCTCTCTCTCTCTCTCTCTCTCTCTCATGCTCCTTCAATCTCTCCTTATTTCTCACACTTTTTACCCATTTTTCTTTCTGTCGTTCAAACTACTTGAGTGTTCGGTGCACATACACAAACCAAGATCATTATAATTTCCTCTTTTATAGACAGCAGCAGGTTGACTGTTGAATACAGGTATTCAAGGGCAGGCTTTAAGATGGTTTAGATCAGTGGTCGCCAACCCGTCGATCGCGATCGACTGGTAGATCTTTATCACTGTCCCAGTAAATCAAATAAAAGGAAAAATTAAATTTCTGCTTTAGTACAACATGACCATATGCAAAACATTACTTCAGCTGACTGTGCTGTTCTGAAGTAGCAAGGTTCAAACTAACTATTAATTTAACAGACACACCTTTTCATATCGCATGACTTATGATTAGTTCACATAATAAATTAGTCTGACACAGTGCACGTGATCTTATTGTGATCAGTTCATTATTCCAATGAGGATTTTGGCTTTGGTTACTAAGTCCCCTTATTTTTTTTAACCACTTCATTCCAAAAACCTGTCATAAGAAGATCAATTTCCATGATTTATTAAGTTCATAAGGTTTCCCATTCCAATACTGTACATTATGCTTGAGTTGCGAATTTAGTTTATGTTGACTTTCAGTATACACATGCGCGTCTATGATACACTATACAGTGTAGAGACCTGAAGGATTATATTAATTCTCTTGATAAAATATATAAATATATACACATATTATTAGGCTGTTAAAATGTAAGTGTTTTTCATTATTTAGTATTTTTAGCAATTTCGAGCAACATTTAAATCTGTTAATTCCAAAGACTGGTACCTGACATACAAAGGGAAATCTGCCCAAGGAAATCCATTGGTCAAAAAGAGTTCAAAGAAACTTTATGGTAGTAACTTTAGTAATTTGTTGGACTACCATATCCAAAGGTAGTCCATGTGATAATCATTCAGTACCATATAAACATCAATGTACAATTGTCCCACCACAATATGTTTTTGTGAGGTTCTAGAATGGTGCTGTTATTTCGTTGCGCATGTCCACATGGGGACTCTGAACGTCTGCCACACTTTGGATGTTTACAGGAGAGAAATACTTGGGTGTGATACAGTTACAAGTTATGGGGGGTTGTGTGTCATTGTGTGTCATGTTGCAGAAATCCATCTCTTTTCCTCTCTCTACCCCTCGCTAATCATCTGTCTGTTTTTCTCTCCGTTCCTGTCATGCCGTGAGCTCTGCATGCATATGTTTTGTGTGTCCATGGGGTCAACATTTCCACCAACAGATGCTTGCATCAAGGGTGTTATGTTATCAAAATAAAAGGCTCTAAATAGTTGGCAGTGGGCCTGTAACACGTGTGATTATTAATCTTATTACCATCTGGATTTCTGTATTCTGTTTCTAGGGGCACTGAAGATCCAGTCACTGTCAACCTGTTTACATGCCCAGATGAAGAAGAAAAACAAGTAATCTTGGCTCCTAAGGTTAGCTATGGCCCGCATGTTGGTATTGGGGAAGCTGCTACAAGCTAGGCATACAGTGATTAAACTTAACTAAAGCTACTGTTTTGAAGTATAGATAACTATGCTAAAAGCTAATAACAAAAATTAGCAACACTTAATTATATATCCAGTTGTATATATCATAATTTAAACTAAAATAATGAGGATGTTTTGAATGAATATATTTAACAAGAAACCTGTTTGAAAAAAAAAATCATTATATTTGCAATTCCATTTGCTAATGCAAGAGGATTAAAAATTAGCACAATACTAGCAGAATGCCAACATTATATATTTCCATATAGGCCTACCAAAACATAGTGACAACCTTACAAAAACTGGGGTGACTCAGTATTAAAATTTAGGTATTAGCTACTGTCAGCAAAAATAGAAATTAATCAAAATGACATTCTGAAAGCTTCTTACTCTGTTTGCACGCAGATCTCATATTAATCTATTATGCTAAAGTAACAAAACCAAATAAAAAAAAGAGTTCTTCAACATTTCCCCTGTTTAGAAAGAAATTATTACAGGTTTGGAACAACATGAGGGTGAGTAAGCACTTCATATGGCTGTCTTATGCACTGACATCAGAAATAGGTTGCCCTTTCAGGACCCTGATGACATTGGTGAATCATTCATTTGTAGAGGCTGCATCAGTTTGGTCTGTACCGGCCTGCACCAGCCCCTCATCACAATTCAGACTGCTGTCAGTGATTCGAAACCTTGGTTAAGATAATTAGGGATCAGAGAACACAAAGCTTTCAGCAGTGAATGAATCTTTAACTGCAAAGATGTGGAATAAGTTTGTGTTCCTCGCCTTCTCAGAAAAAAACAAAAGATCATAATCACATCCCATATTCGAATATGCTGATAGCCTCAAGGTCATTGGGATTAGAGTTAATGTTTCAATCTTAAAAGTGTTTGTGTCTATCTTTCAAAGCATGCCGCTGCTGATAATGAATGACACATCACAGGTTTGGATGAACACAGACTTTGACAGATTGATAGGTCCCCAAGAATAAGAGAGAACTTCTTCGAATGTAAGTAGGCGCGTTTCCATTACAGATTTGCGCAAAACCACTATTTTTGAAAATAGGCTCATTTTCCAACTCCCCTAGAGTTAAACAGTTGAGTTTTACCGTTTTCGAATCCATTCAGCCGATCTCCGGGTCTGGCGGTAGCACTTTTAGCTGCAGCTTAGCATAGATCATTGAATCTGATTAGACCGTTAGCATCTCGCTCAAAAATGACCAAAGAGTTTCTATATTTTTCCTATTTAAAACTTGACTCTTCTGTAGTTACATCGTGTACTAAGACCGACGGAAAATGAAAAGTTGCGATTTTCTAGGCCGATATGGCTAGGAACTATACTCTCATTCCGGCGTAATAATCAAGGAACTTTGCTGCCGTACCATGAGTGCAGCAGGCGCAATGATATTACGCAGCGCCTGAAAATAGGCTTATTGGAAGTTACCTAGCTGGGGACTATTTTCAGGCGCTGCGTAATATCATTATTTATTTTGTAGATAGTCTTATTTTTTAGTTTTAGTTAATTAATTAATAACCCTGGTTTCAAACTAGAAAAAATATCTGAGAAGAAAAATAAGTTAATTTTTTCTAACTGCACTGACGGATATTTTTCCTGTTTTAAGCATAAATTCACTTGATTTGAACACATTTTTCAGAAATACCTCAAATCATTGTGAATCTCAAGTAAATGTTTAAATCTTGATTTAATAATGTGTAGATATTTGTACTGGACAACAGAGGAAGAGCATCTGTTTCTCATGCAGAAATCCTGTAGTTCAGTGCCTGGGGCGCCTGATATCTTTATGATTTTGTGTTTGTGTGTTCAGTGGCTTGCTTCATAATGTGTTTGTGACAGACGAGGTCAGTCCTTCACACAGCAGCTTAAAGACGACAGAAATAACTTGAGCTGCTGCAGCTGATCTTCTGTTTTTATCATGCGTTCGAAGCCGATTGAGACCTTATCATAACCTGCCCGAATCAAGAGCGCATATTAAAGTCACAATAAAAACCAAGGCTGTAACTCACGATTGTCTTTTTATGGTCTCGTCTCACGGCAGTAAATGTGAAGATCTTATAAATCCCCAGAAGAACATTTTATTGCTCAGGTTGCTCTCTCATAGCTCCAGAAACACATTTCCCAGTAATATCTCATTAAAATATCAACGGTGTCAACATTTAAGAATATTTTTGGAGCTCGGTCAGTTTATGTAATCAGCTTACATTTTATCACAACTTTGCATGAGATGGGACTGAGAGAGTAAAGAAATTAAGAGTTATTTAATTAAATTAAGTGTCATTAAAACATCTATTTGTTCAAAAATTGCTTCAAATTATTAAATATTTGTATGCAAAAGCTTTAAAAAGTGTTTACGATCAGTCACAAAAAAAAAGGTCTGGGTTAGAAACATTTTCATTTCACAATTTTAATCCTGTTTCTATCTAGAGGAAATAATAAAATTATTAAGAGATTTAATTAGTGATTTGTCTTTGCAATGGAAGTATGTCAGTGGTAAAGTTCAGTTTACTTTCATTATATAATTAAGTTTTTATTTAGATGTTTTTCTCATCCGTCAGTAACTCATTTGACGTGAGATAATTGGCAAACCTGTAGAAAAGGATTAATTTTAGAATAACTCATCATATAAGATACAAAGTTTAGTTTCAGATTCAAATATTAACTTGCAAAACCCTATTAAGGTGTCTTGTTATTATTATTATTTTATTTAACGTTTGCATGGCAAAAATGCAACATAATTTGCAATCATATTAGTTTTTTTATGTCAACACAATACTTCGTTGCAAAAAAAAAAACAGTTTTACTCAGTATTTTTGTCTTGTTTTCCAGTGCTACCGCCAGACCCGGAGATCGGCTGAATGGATTCGAAAACATATAAAATATAGCGATATTTTATAAATGTCGATAAAAAAGTGTTGTCAAATGACGGCGTTTCCATTAACCATTGTTATGCGACTAAAACGTAACCTTTTGCCTCTTGCGATAAGTCATGGCAACGGATTTTATGAACACAGACTTTGACAGATTGATAGGTCCCCAAGAATAAGAGAGAACTTCTTCGAATGTAAGTAGGCGCGTTTCCATTACAGATTTGCGCAAAACCACTATTTTTGAAAATAGGCTCATTTTCCAACTCCCCTAGAGTTAAACAGTTGAGTTTTACCGTTTTCGAATCCATTCAGCCGATCTCCGGGTCTGGCGGTAGCACTTTTAGCTGCAGCTTAGCATAGATCATTGAATCTGATTAGACCGTTAGCATCTCGCTCAAAAATGACCAAAGAGTTTAG